GATCTCAGCTCTGGTCTCGCTTGCTAGCTGGACACCTTCCTTGGATGTCCCCTGGGTCCCCTAAATCCCACACAGCAGAATCACTGTTTTCATTCCTCTCCTAAGCCCACTCCACCGCTCAAGGCAGAACCTTGGCATCTTCCAAGATTCTTCCTGCCTGCGCCTCCATGTCCAGTCTCACTCAGCTCTTCTGCTGCTCGGTCTGCCTTCAAAACATCCGAAATCTCCTCCTCCCTGCCGTCCCCTCTGTTGCTGCTGCTCCTGCCTTCATGATCTCCAGCTGATCTCCCTTTCTTGTCTTGCACACTGCCCAAAAAATAGGTACTCGCTACTCCGCTGCAGGAACACAGTCCTGTTGCTCCCGCCTGTGAGGGCAGGGGCAGGCTCTGCCGCCTCAGAGCTGTTTCCCGCAGCCACAGGGAGCTAGTTCCTTGTATGTGTCATGGAGTTTCCCATATTTCTCTCTTACTCCTGCTTTTGCCTAGAGTATCTACTGCCTAGCCCCATCCCTACCCTTGGCCTGTAGGTCGTCTGTCCCCCCTCTACGGCTACCTTAATTACCAACTCCTGTGTCACGTCCTGTGCTTCCAGCCAGCTCTCTGGGGTCAGCACTCCTGGGTCCATCGCCTGGGTTCACGTCTTAGCTTTCTCATTGGTTAGCAGTACGACTAGGGGCAAATGATGGGGTGGCACCAGGCCTCAGCTTCCTCATTTGCAAGTGGAAATGGTAGTAATTCCTACCTCACAGATTGCTGATAGAAACATTGAAAAGACTGATCAGCACTTCAGTCGAAGTTGGCTTGTGATATCCCCACGTTGCACTGTGTTCTCCTGCCTTTGAGAGCAGGGAGCACAGCTTACTCAGCCCTGTCGTCTCCGCGCTGAGCCCTGAAGCCACGCACTTCACAGCCAGGAAGCCTGAGAGTGGGCAGGTGGCTGGGTGACTGTGTGAACAGGAGGGTTGATGAATGAGTCTCCAGTGCACGTTCCTACTCCTAGCTGCTGACGTCCAGGGTTTTGGTTTGTTTTGGATATGTTTGCTGGCCATTTGTTAAATGTCTTTGAGAAATACTCATTTGTCTCTTTTGCTTATTTTTAACTTGGCATATTTGTCTTTTTATTGTTGAATTGTAAAATTATATGTTCTGGATTCTAACCTCTTATTAGATAAATGATCTTTCAGGTAATTTCCCATTCTGTGAGCTTTTTCACCTTAGCGTGTCCTTTGAAGCACAAAAGTTTTTGATTTTGGTGAGGTCTGATTTACCTTTTGCCACTTGTGATTCTGATTTCATATCTAAGGAGCTGTTGCCCAATCCAGCCTCATGGATGCTTACGCCGTGTTTTCTTTAAGGGCTTATGGCTCAGTGTTGAGGTTGCTGATCCAGTTTTTAGTGACTCTATGGTGTGAGGCAGGGGGTCTGCTTCATTCTCCTGGGTATGGATGTGTGTCTGCAGCAGCACCATGTGTTGCAAAGACCGCTCCTGACTGCACTGTCTTGGCACTCTTACTAAAAATTCATGGGTCAAAAATAAGAGTTTATTTCTGGACTTCTGTAGTCCAGTGATTCCTATGTTTGTCTTTAAGTCAGTACTACCCTGTCTTGTTTGCTGTAGCTTTTAGTAAGTTTTGAAATCAGGAAGTGTGAGTCTTCTACTTTGTTTTCTTGAATCTTTTTTTTTTTTTTTTTTTTCTTTTTAAGATTTATTTATTTTATTTGAAAGGCAGAGTTACAGAGAGGCAGAAGGGGAGAGAGGTCTTCCATCTGCTGATTTACTTCCAGATGGCCACAATGGCCGCAGCTTCTTCCAGGTCTCCCACATGAGTACAGGGACCCAAGGACTTGGGTCATCTTCTACTGCTTTCCCAGGCCATAGCAGAGAGCTGGATCAGAAGTGGAGCATCCGGGACTCAAACCAGCATCCATATGGGATGCTGGTACTGCAGGCAGCATTTTACCTGCTACGCCACAGTGCCGGCCTGTTTTCTTGAAATTTTTTGGGTCCCTTTCGTTTCCCCCACAAATTCCATAATCAGTATGCCAATTTCTGGAAGATAGCCAGTGGGATTTTGATTGGGGTTGCATGGGATCTGTAGCTAACTTTAGGGAGTATAGCTGTTCTAACTACATTAAAGGTTACATTCCATGAACACAGGATGGCTTTCCATTGATTTAGGCTCATCCAAGTTGTTTTAATTCCCAATATTTTCAAAATGATGGATTGAGGAGGTGGTACCCATGAATTTCCGGAAGATGTTGTCTGGTGGACGAAAAGAACTTAGGAAATGTTGGTGGATGAATGAATGAATGTGCTAATGTCTCCTGTAAGATGCTTCGAGTTGCTGATAGGGAGAAGCTGTGTGCACGTGTGTTCCAGATTCCCTCACCTTTCGTGTAAGGAGCTGAGCGTGTGACTCCTGGGCTGATAAAATCAACAAGTGGCCCTGGGGTTGGAATGGACGTCTGAAGCTGCATCATTCCCTTTGCTGAAGGCAGGAGTGGGATCGAGTGGAGTTTAGAATCAGCGTTTGTAACTTTGGGTAGTGCTTGAAAGATGCTAGAGCATCATGGCGAAGCGTGAGGGCTGTGTCTAATAAGCAGGCCTTCCTTGTTACTCTTTTTGTCCCCTCTGGGTCACCATTCTCTGTGATTCTACCATTCCTGATTGGTTCTTCATGGTCCTGGTAGGGCTCTTTTCACAGAACCCTCTGAAGTCTCTCTCACCTGTGGATTTTCCTCGGGATGCTGCCCTTGCAGGATGCCGTAGCTGCCCTCAGGGTGCAGGTAGATTTGTTTTCTGTAGGTTGGAAAAGCGTTCCTTTGGGTGGAGACAAATATTTACTTATTTGAAAGGTGGAGTTACAGAGAGAAGGGGAGAGAGATCTATCGATCGACTGATCAGTCAATCAGTCTTCCCTCTGCTGGTTCACTCCCCAAATGGCCACAATGGCTAGGGCTGTGCTAGGCCAAAGCCAGGAGCTTCTTCCAAGTCTCCCACGTGGGTGCAGGAGCCCAGGGACTTGGGCCATCTTGCGCTGCTTTCCCAAGTGCATTAGTAGAGAGCTGGATTGGGAAGTGGGGCAGCTGCAACTCAAACCAGTGCCCATATGGGATGGGCACCCGTTGCGGGCCACAGTGTTCTCTGCCAGCCCTAGAACATGACGGGAAGGAGTGCTTGCTTCACGGTGACAGATGAGCTTTGCGATTGGGCCAGACTGGCCAGCTGTTTACTTCCCTGACACGGTCATGGGGCCAGCAAGGCCAGTGGGACTCACTGGCTGTTGACACCCGATGCTCCTGCAGGCTCCTGGCATTTCTTCTGTTGCTCACCAGAGAGTCAGTCTTTGGAGTCTCCAGCCCCAGCGGGCTGGGTTTGAGCCCTTAGCTTCTGGTGGTGTCCTGGAGGTGGTCTGTGCACTGTCCCTGTGCACCTGACTCGAGACAGGCTGCCTGTGTCTCAGGCGTTTGAGGAATCAGTAGCAGCAGGGTGCATACGCTTTATGAGGGCTGGGATGAGAGGAGGAGCTTCCAGAGCCCCTCTGCTCCCCTGTTGGCACTCTTCACGCTGCATGTGCTGAGGCACAGACCGTGGCGTTTCTGGCAGCCTCTGTGAGCCTCTTGCCCTGTGATGCATGTGTACCCACTGTCGCCTGTAGGGTCAGAGCACAGTGGAGTCTACACCGCCTCTGCTGTCCCTGTGACCTTGGGCAGGCACTTAACCTCTAGTGTCCTCGTCTGCAGGGTTATTATTAAGAGAATTAGGCAATAAATGTGAAGTGATGAGCATAGCACCTGGTCACAGTGCTCAGAGAACACCTGCCATGATTCCCACTTTTTTTTTTAAGATTTATTTATTTATTTGAAAGGTAGAGTTATTGAGAGAGAGAGAGAGAGAGAGAGAGGTTTAACATCTGCTGGTTCACTCCCCAAATGGCCTCAATGGCTGGAGCTGTGCCAATCTGATCCCATGCAGGCACAGGGGCCCAGAGACTTGGGCCATCTTCTACTGCTTTCCCGGGCCACAGCAGAGAGCTGGACTGGAAGAGGAGCAACCGGGACAGAATCCGGCGTCCCAACTGGGACTAGAACCTGGGGTGCCGGCGCTGCAGGTGGAGGATTAACCTAGTGAGCCGAGGCGCTGGCCCCTGGTGTTCTCTTAACCCAAGCCCTGCCCTGACCTGTGGTGACAGCCTCCTTTACCAACTTGTAGGAAGGACGACATGAGAACAGACGTTTGCGATCGGGGGCTGTGATGGGGCCGGGGCGGTCATGGGCTGTGATGGGGCCGGGGCGGTGAGGACCATGGACAGGGAGGGCTTCCAGAAGGAAGCTGTGTGTGTACGGCCTGCAGGATGCGTAGCTTGGCCAAATGGTGTGGGCTGGGGGCATTCCCAGCAGAGGGAACAGAGGCCGACTGTGTGGCCCTGAGTAGCCTTTCTGGGGAGACACAGCCTGGCCACAAGAAGGAGGAAGCCAGGGCCAGTTCTGCACTGAGGGGTCTGGCGCCAGGTGTGCTGCCTCAGAGACGGGGTGCCCGTGGTAGCAGTTTTCTAGAGCTGCCTGGAGAGGAAGGGGTCCCTGGGTTCTGGAAGCCAGGAGTCCAGACAAGATGAGGTCTGGCAGAGCCGTGTTCCCCTGCAGGTCCCTGGGAAGGACCCTTCCTCCCTCCCCCAGCTTCTGACGTTTGCCAGCAGCCGTGGCGTTTCTTGGCTTGCAGACTCCTGTCACGGGGTCTTCTTCTCCCTGTGTGAGTGTGTGTGTCTCTGTGTGCAGGTTTTGTCCCTCAGAGGATAGTAGAATTGGATCAGGGTTCACCTGAATGACCTCACTGAACCTGACTACCTCCCTCAAGCCCCTGACTCCAAATAAGGCCATGTTCAGAGCACTGGGCCGTAGGACTTACATGAGCTTCCTGGGGCCACGGGTCAGTCTGCAACACCCTCTCCTGGGTCAGGCCACCCTGCACTTCTTTCTCACCCGCCCTGTCTTCTCCTGCAGAACCGGGCAGTGGGTCGGCCCAAGGGCAAGCTGGGCCCGGCCTCCGCGGTGAAGTTGGCCGCCAACCGGACGACTGCAGGAGCTCGCCGGCGCCGGACGCGATGCCGCAAGTGCGAGGCCTGCCTGCGGACCGAGTGTGGAGAGTGTCACTTCTGCAAGGACATGAAGAAGTTCGGGGGCCCCGGGCGGATGAAGCAGAGCTGCATCATGCGGCAGTGCATAGCGGTGAGCACAGCTGGCCACGGTCCCTCCGTGAGAGGTGCTCCCTGCGGGAGGAAAGCGGCTCAGCCCGTGCTGGCGTCAGGCCCCCTTGCCGGGCCTGGGGCCGCTCAGCCGTGTTTCAGGCTCTGGCTTCTTTGTGGGCTGGTGATCGCGTGCCTCCTTCCTTCCTGGCTGGCTGGGTACTTTGAAGTCTCTGCTCAGCGCAGCCTGTCCTGTCGGTGATCCCGTTGCCATCACCTCTGATCCAGTTCACGATGATGCCAGGCCCTTCCTTCCTTCCTGTCTCACTTTCAAGAGTCAGAGGTTGGGGTGGAAGGTCAGTGCCCCCCGCCCAGAGGAGTGATTTATGATGTTGAAGAGCTGAGCCCCAGAGAGCCTGGCTGGCCCCTCCCCGCGTCTCCTGCAGTGGCCTGAGGCTGTGGGGCTATAGGACAGGGCAGTGGGAGCAGACCCCTCCCACCCACACACCCACACACTCACACACTCCCCTTCTCCTGGGTGCCACTCCCAGTAGTCCTCCCTGTGGGAGTGGCCATCTCCCTGCCCCCTGGAAAAGCCAGCCCAGCTGGAGCGACGGATTCCCTCGGCCTGGTGAGCTCATCCTCAGGCCCACCATAGCGTGGGGCGAATCCCCGAGGCCCTCACCCCTCTCCCTCCACACGGCCTGTTTGTAGTGCTTGTTTTTTGAATCGTGGTCAAAAACCACATGATGCAAAATTTACCTTTAAAAAAAAAAAGATTTATTTATTGATTTAAAAAGCAGAGTTACAGAGAGGCACAGGCAGAGAGAGTGGGAGAGCTCCTCCCTCCTGCTTACTCCCCAGATGGCTTCGATGGCCGGAGCTGTGCCGATCCAAATCCAGGAGCTTCTTCCAGGTCTCCCACAGGGGTGCAGGGCCCCAAGAACCTGAGCCGTCTTCTGCTGTCCCAGGCCACAGCAGAGAGCTGGATGGGAAGTGGAGCAGCTGGTACTCAAACCAGTGCCCATATGGGATGCTGGTACTGCAGGTGGTGGCTTTACCCGCCATGCAACCGTGCTGGCTCCACAAATTTCCCTTCTTAACCACGTTTAAGTGGTGCAATAGCGCGAGCCTCCTGATGTCCGTCTGAACGTTCGTCTTAGGAGACTGACACTCTGTCCCCACTGAGCAGCCCTCCTCTTCCCTTCCTCCATTTCCAGCAGCTCCGTTCCTTTTTTTTTAAATATTTATTTATTTGAAAGAGTTACAGAGAGCGAGAGAGAGATGGAGATCTTCCATCTGCTGGTTTACTCCCCAAATGGCTGTAACAGCTGGAACTGCACCAATCCGAAGCCAGGAGCCAGGAGCTTCTTCCAGGTCTCCCACGTTGGTACAGGGGCCCAAGGAGTTGGGCATCTTCCACTGCTTTCCCAGGCCGTATCAGGGAGCTAGATCAGAACTGGAGCAGCTGGGACTTGAACCGGCGCCCATATGGTTTACTGGCACTGCAGGCAGCAGCTTTACCCACGAAGCCACAGCACCGGCCCTCTACTTTGTTTCTAAATGCTTACAACTCTCTGACCCTTGTACCTGTGAGTCACCCAAGGTTCATCTGTATCATGGCATTGTCGGTACTGTGTTCCTTTTCATGGGTGAATAGTACTCCATCTCCTGTGTACGTGTGTCCTGTTTTCTTTGTCCATTCCTCTCCTGATGGACATTTCGATTGTTCCGGTGGTGGTGGTATTGAGCATCTTTTCTTATTCTCGCTGGCCACCTGTGTATCTCCTTTGCAGAGATGTGTGTTTCTAGTCCTTTGCCCATTTCCTAATTGGAAGCTTATGCTTTTTTATTCAGTTGTAACAGTTTCTCCCCCCACCCCACATGAAATGTGCAGTATGTACATATTTTCTCCCATCCTGTGAACTGTCTTTTCATTCTGTTCTTTAATTTTGCTGCCTGTGTTTTCAATTATTATCTGAAACCCAGGACATCTGAAAAGATTTCAGGGGCTCTGTGAGCCCCAGAGCATCGGTACAGACTCTGCCTGTGTGCACGTGCGTCTGCACGTGTGTTCCACGTCCTGCCCACCTGCAGCCCACACAGGCCCCCTTGCTGCCTGCCGCTGCCCTCCTCCCTTGATCAGAGTCTCTCATGCTCCCACCCTCCCTGTCCCGATCTGCAGGAGCTTCACTCCCCCCTCCCCGTCCTGCCAGAGACCCTCTGACCACCAGGAGCTGTCACCCGCCTGGCACCCCCAGCACTGGTGGCCACCCCAGACACCTGGCTTGCTCCCCTGCTCAAAACACCCTTCGGCCTCCTTTTGGTTCACCTTGGGGCCCCTCTGCCTGTCCCGCCCCTGGCCTCTGAGCCCTCCTGAAATTGGCCCCTGCTGCCTTTCTCTGTGTCTCCCCTGGGGGTCTGATGCCTGGAGGGGAGCAGCTGGCTTCTCATTCGCTGTCCCTAGTACTTTATTTCAGGCTTAGCAAATGTGTGTTAGGTGTTTGTGGAATGAATGAGAACTGTTTTACCTTCAGCGTTCGGTGTGTTTCAATTCCGGTATTTGTGCCAATCTATCCAGACTCCTGCACTCCTCAAGGGTCTGTATGCCGCCTTATCCTCTGCCTCCCAGAGCCTGTGTTGGCGCTGGGAGTGGGGTGCAGTCAGGCCAAGCACTCCCTAACTTTACTTAGATGGGTTATTCATTCATATGTCCTGTGTTAGCAATTAAAACGGAGAAATTTTTACAAAATTTTTTTTGTAAAGATTTATTTATTTGAAAATCAGAGCGGAGAGGCAGAGAGAGAGAGAAGTCTTACATCTGCTGGTTCACTCTCCAGATGGCCGCAACGGCTTGAGTTGCGCCAATCTAAAGCCAGGAGCCTGGAGCTTCTTCCAGGTCTTCCCATGCGGGTTCAGGAGCTCAAGGACTTGGGCCATCTTGTACTGCCTTTCCAGGCCATAGCAGAGAGCTGGATAGGAAGTGGAGCAGCCAGGACATGAACCAGCACCCATATGGGATGCCAGCACTGCAGGCGACAGCTTTAGCTACTCTGCCACAGTGCCAGCCCCACAAAAATGTTTTAAGTCCATTTAAGAATAGTAGTAACTCCATTGTATGATAGCAGAAAAACATTTTTTATGAAAAATAGCTACATTGTCCAAAACAGAAACAATTAAGATTGTCGTCGTTCTGTGCTTTTGTGAATCTCTTGTGTCTGGCTCACTAGAAGAGATCTGGCTTTTCCTAGCTGCTTCCATTCATCTGTCCTGCTGTGTTGGTCCTGATGAGGTGTGAGGACAGCCTGGCCCCACGGGAGGCAGTGCCTTCCCTGTTAGTTGCAACGTGGAATCTGAAACTGTATCGATGGCTCTCCCTGCCGTTACATTAGCAATCCTGTCTTGCCTTTGAGTAGCTCCTTTACTTGATGTGATTTTGCAACATCTTGCTTGATCATTTGGGAAGTATTGGCTCACTGGGTTAGGCAGGTTTTCCAAATACTGGCACGTGCTATTACATGGTCTGTATATCTTGTTAAAATCCATGTGTATATCACCACCAGTCTTGTCAGAAAAGCCTTTAAGGATGGAGAAAGCCATCTAGTTTGTGGTGGCTCATGGAAGTTTTTCAAAATTCTGACTTTCATCTGAAAATTCAAATTCTGTCATTTGTAACCAGTGCTGCCAGTCAGCCTTCTCCGAGACAGGTGAGCTTCTTTCGTCTTCAAGAACATGGGTCAGTGCCCAGACTCTTTCAGTCTTTCAAGAAGCAGTGGTGTCTGTGGAGAAGGCGGCCAGGGGAGCGTGCAGCCTGAGTGCTTTTCCTCCCCGGCTGTATCCTGGGTGTGCAGGCAGAAGCCTCGTGTGCTGCTTCCTGTCTTGTCACACACGGTGTGGAGAGCACGTGAGCCTGGAGGTTGAGCTCTTCATAAAGTTCATTTTTAATGCCTCTGTGGCCACCACTAGTCCAGCGACTCCTGAGACAGCATGGGGCCATGATGGTGCCAAGGAACCAGTCATCTCACAGCTCCAGCACAGTGTAAATGGTGGCTGTGTTCCTGTTCTGAAGACAGTTTTGTTTTGCCTTTTTTGAAAGATTTATTTATTTATTTATTTATTTTGAAAGCGTTAGAGGGAGAGACAGAAAGATCTTCTATCTGTAGGTTCATTTCTCAAATGGCTGCATCAGCCAGCAGTGGGCCAGGCTGAAGCCACGAGCTCGTTCCAGGTCTCCTACATGGGTGGCAGGGACCCAAACACTTGGGCCATCTTATGCTGCTTTTCCCAGGCCATTAGCAGGGAGTTGGATCAGAAGTAGAATATTGGGGGCCGGTGCCACAGCTCAATAGGCTAATCCTCCGCCTTGCGGCACCGGCACACTGGGTTCTAGTCCCGGTTGGGGCGCCGGATTCTGTCCCAGTTGCCCCTCTTCCAGGCCAGCCCTCTGCTGTGGCCAGGGAGTGCAGTGGAGGATGGCCCAGGTGCTTGGGCCTTGCACCCCATGGGAGACCAGGAGAAGCACCTGGCTCCTGCCTTCGGATAGGCGCGGTGTGCCGGCTGCAGTGCGCCAGCTGTGGCGGCCATTGGAGGGTGAACCAACGGCAAAGGAAGACCTTTCTCTCTCTCTCTCTCTCACTGTCCACTTTGCCTGTCAAAATAAATAAATAAAACCATCATTTAAAAAAAAAAAAAAAAAAGAAGTAGAATATTGGGGGCAAGAACCAGCACCCGTATGGGATGCCAGCATTGTAGGCGGCAGCTTTGCCTGCGATACCATGGCGCCCACCCTGAAGACACTTTTGTCCTTCCTTGCAAAGTCTCGGGGACCTTGGAGTCCTTGGACTGCACTTTGATGCCCACCAGTAAAGCACAGCCTTGGCTCCACGTCGGTCTGGGCCTGACTGACGCCTCACTTCCTTCAGTTCTTTTCCAAATATAAGGCCTTCCCTGACCTCATATTTAAGATTAGCTCCCCTTCCCCCTGGCCCTGGCCCTCCTCGCCTTACCTTTCCTGGTTCTCTAGTTCAGGACGGCCTGGAGTCTAACTTGTCTTGCTCAGTGTCCTGTTCCTCGTGTTGAGGACAGTAGTACCTGGCACTGGGAGCTGGTGGCCTGGTAAGAATCTGAGTGGAGTGCCTGGGCCCATTTCCTGGTGTCTCCCAGCCAGCCCAGGCTTGTTGCCCTTGACCTGGCCCCCGGGACCAGTTCTTGCTCCTTGCTGACTGATCCTGTTCTCCCCGCCCTTCAGCCAGTGCTGCCCCATACCGCTGTGTGCCTTGTATGTGGCGAGGCGGGGAAGGAGGACACGGTGGAGGAGGAAGAAGGCAAGTTCAACCTCATGCTCATGGAGTGCTCCATTTGCAACGAGATCATCCACCCTGGATGCCTTAAGGTGAGCAGCCCCTGGGGCTCTGCTTGTGCCGCCGAGTAGCCCACCGCAGGGCCTCCAGTAAAAGCAGAGGGGTGAGGCTGCCAGACCCCCAGGCAGTGTGGTAAATTCCTGGAAGCCCCTGAGCCTGTCAGTTGCTGAGCCCTGGGAGGAGAGGTCGGGAGCAGCTCATGCCTCCCCTGCCTCTTGGAGGAACTGAACACCACCACCCCCTGCTGCCCCTCACCACCCTGACGGCTCAGACTGTGGAGGCCTCCCCGTGTCTCAGCAGGCGGAAGACGTGGGCTACAGGTCCCATCTGGGCCCTAGAAGAGACTCGAGGCGGCGCCCTGGCTCCTGTCTTTTGGGACAACAAGGCCTAGCCAGGGAGGGCCAGTGGTTGCCGTCTCTGCCTTCATGTCCAGAGCAGGGCTGCCTTCTCCCAGTGACCCGTGTGCTGTGCCTGCCTGCCACGGGCAGCTGGTTCCCTTCTGAAAAGAAGAGGGAACTCTGGGCTGGCACATGCCTTCTGTCCCAAGAGAATGTGGTCAGGTCACGGGTGTCTCACAGAGACCCCCTGGGCCTGCCCAGGGTGAAGCTTTAGCTCTGCGGGCCACCACTTGCCCCTGGTGGTGACCATGGGTGTCTGCTTTGACCCTTACTCCTCTGTCACCCATGCGCACAGACACACCGCTGGGACCCCCTTCAGCCCTTCCATTGTGATTGGTTACTCCCCCCACACACACACACACCCAGCTCAGGCGCTCCCTGAGCCACGCAGCTGGCTCCCAGGACTTGTGCAGCCACGTACAGGGTCCTCCTGTGTGCTGGACCCTGAGCTGGGAGCCCCTGACTTGTAGAGTGGACAAGGGTGCCAGCCCGTGGGGATCACTCAGCCAGTCGGAAGCAGAAAGGTCCACATATGAACCTGGCCTGAATCCGGAGCCGTCCCCATCAAGCAGCTCTGGACAGCGGCATTCAGGGCAGAGGTGGCACCGGGGTGAGGGTGGAGTGCTCCAGGTGTGGCCACCTCTCAGGCCCTCCCCTGCTGACCGAGTCCCTGTGTGTCCTTCCCAGATTAAGGAGTCAGAGGGTGTGGTCAACGACGAGCTTCCCAACTGCTGGGAGTGTCCGAAGTGTAACCACGCCGGCAAGACCGGGAAAGTGAGTGCCGGCCTCCAGGCCCCCGGTCAGTGGGAGTGGGGTGGGCCTGGGCCTCCTCAGGCTGGCGGGGTGCGGCAGGAAGGGCAAGTTCCAAGATATACAGTTGGTTTGTTCCTTCTCCCTTTTTGGCCTACAAGCAAAAGCGTGGCCCTGGCTTTAAGTACGCATCCAACCTGCCCGGCTCCCTGCTCAAGGAGCAGAAGATGAACCGGGACAACAAGGAAGGGCAGGAGCCTGCCAAGCGGAGGAGTGAATGTGAGGAGGCGCCCCGGCGCAGGTCGGACGAGCACCCCAAGAAGGTGCCCCCAGACGGTATCCTGCGCCGGAAGTCGGACGACGTGCACCTGAGGAGGAAGCGGAAGTATGAGAAGCCCCAGGAGCTGAGTGCGCGAAAGCGAGTACGGAGGGGCTTGGGCGGGGGGCTGGGTCCGGCTGGTCCCAGGTGCGGCGGGGGGGAGGTGTGGCATGGGCAGCAGGTCCTGGCCTCCTGCCGCCCTGGGTAGTAGCTCACCTGAGTCCTGAGAGCCTGGCCCAGAAGAAAGGGGAAACCAGCGAGTCACTCCTCCTCCCACACCCCTTAGGCCTCGACGCTTCAGACGTCGCCCGGTTCCTCCTCTCACCTCTCGCCGAGGCCCCCTCTCGGCAGCAGCCTCAGCCCTTGGTGGAGATCCAGTCTCACTTACTTCCAGCAGCAGGTGCGCCCATGCCCCACCCTCTCGAGGCCTGGGGCCTTGAGAGTCCCGCCCCACGGGTCCCGCAGCCAGTTGCCAGACTCCCTGTGGCTCGGGCCCAGGTCTTCAGCGCATTCTGGCGCGCTGCCCGCCCCAGGCAGCGCTCTGTGACAGAGTGTTGCCTGGTTGGGAACAAAGCTGAGACTGCCTCTGGGAAGTCCAGGGAACCTCCCAGGATCCTGGGGGCCCTGCTAACGCCTACTGGCCTTGCTGTCACCAGCCACAAGGTGGCGCCTAGAGTCTTGTCAAAGCTCTGGCCCGGGCTCCCAGAGCCCAAGTGCCATGAATGCGGGGAGCGGGAGGAGGTGGGAAAGGAGGTGGCTTGAGTGGGACGACAGCCGTCCTCTGCTGCGTCCAGCTTCTTCCCTGAAAGCAGAGGCAGGGCCCACCGTCTGGCAGTCAGAGGTGTGGGGGCGCCTCCCTCCCTCCCCTGCTCTGGTCTTGTGGGGAGGGGTGGGGAGGTGAGGGGTGTTGGGTAAGGAGGGGACCAAGTTCCACGGCCCTGGGAGCAAGCTCTGCCTCCTTTCTTTCCTCTCACAGCTAAAACCTGGCAAAGAAGATAAGCTTTTCAGGAAAAAGGTACCGTGCGCTCTCCCTCCTGGGCCGTCAGAGCTGCAGGAAGTGCCCTGGCCCACAGCCCTTGGCAGAGTTGGGGGCTTTGGGTGGGCACTGGCCGAGGTCCCGGGCTGACCTGCACTCCCCCCTCCCCTTGACAGCGGAGGTCCTGGAAGAACACGGAGGACCGGATGGCTAGCAAGCCCCTGCGGCGCTTCAAGCAGGAACCAGAGGACGATCTGCCCGAGGCGCCCCCTAAGACCAGGGAGAGTGACCACTCGCGCTCCAGCTCCCCCACGGCCGGGCCCAGCACGGAGGCGGCCGAGGGCCCAGAGGAGAAGAAGAAGGTGAAGATGCGCCGGAAACGGCGGCTCCCCAACAAGGAGCTGAGCAAGGAGCTGAGCAAGGAGCTGAACCACGAGATCCAGAAGACGGAGAGCAGCCTGGCCCACGAGAACCACCAGCCCATCAAGTCGGAGCCGGAGAGCGAGCACGAGGAGCCCAAGCGGCCCCTGGGTCTCTGCGAGCGCCCCCACCGCTTCAGCAAAGGGCTCAATGGCGCCCCCCGGGAGCTGCGGCACCCGCTGGGGTCTGGCCTGCGCAGCCCGCCCCGCGTCATCTCCCGGCCCCCACCCTCAGTGTCCCCGCCCAAGTGCATCCAGATGGAGCGCCACGTGATCCGGCCGCCCCCCATCAGCCCCCCGCCCGACTCACTGCCCCTGGATGATGGGGCGGCCCATGTCATGCACAGGGAGGTGTGGATGGCCGTCTTCAGCTACCTCAGCCACCAAGACTTATGTGTGTGCATGCGGGTCTGCAGGACCTGGAACCGCTGGTAAGGGGCTGCCGACACCAGAGCTCCCAGCCAGGCTCGGGCTGCCAGGGCGCCCTGCGGTCCCTGTGCCCCACTTGAGTCGGGATGCTGGGGTGCCCTGTGGTCCCTGTGCCCCACTTGAGTCGGGCTGCCGGGGTGCCCTGCGGTCCCTGTGCCCCACTTGGGTTGGGCTACTGGGGTGCCCTGCGGTCCCTGTGCCCCACTTGGGTTGGGCTACTGGGGTGCCCTGCGGTCCCTGTGCCCCACTTGGGTTGGGCTGCCGGGGCACCCTGCGGTCCCTGTGTCCCACTTGGGTTGGGCTGCCGGGGCACCCTGCGGTCCCTGTGTCCCACTTGAGTTGGGCTACTGGGGTGCCCTGCGGTCCCTGTGCCCCACTTGGGTTGGGCTACTGGGGTGCCCTGCGGTCCCTGTGCCCCACTTGGGTTGGGCTGCCGGGGCACCCTGCGGTCCCTGTGCCCCACTTGAGTCTGGCTGCCGGGGTGCCCTGCGGTCCCTGTGCCCCACTTGAGTCTGGCTGCCGGGGTGCCCTGCGGTCCCTGTGCCCCACTTGAGCTGCTCGCTGTGGTCTTTCCTTCTAAGCCCCAGTTCTGCCTGATCCTCCTGTAAGGAGTTCAGGTGGCTGTGGCAGTCCTGTCAGTCGGGCTTGTTAGAGAGCTGGTGCCTGTTTGCTGTCCTGATTTAGCTCCCTGGAAGGTGAAGTAAGTACTGGTGGAGTCCTTGTCTTTTTTTAAGAGAGAGACAGAAAATCTTCAGTCTGCTGGTTCACTCCCCAAATGTCTGCAACAGCCAAGGCTGAGCCAGGCTGAAGCCAGAAGCCTGGAACTCCATCCAGGTCTCCTGTGTGGGTGGCAGGAACCAAGGCGCTTGGGCCATCATCTGCTGCCTCCATGTTAGCAGGAAGCTAGAATCAGAAGTGGAGCCAGACGCAGAGCTGGGCACTCTGCCGTGGGACGCATGCGTCCTAAGCAGCCAGCTTAAGCTGCTGTGCCGCCGCATCCAGCCTCGAGTCCTTGTCTTGAAGGCGTTAGCCCGAGTGAGGAGCAGAGGCGCCAGTACTGCCTTTAGTACAGCTGGAGACTGGCCGCTTTCTGGCCCTGGTCAAGTTGCTTACCCTCATGTGTGAATGGGCGTGACTCCTGCCCCATGACCGTTGTACAGAGGTGTGGCCCACAGAGGGCAGCGGAGAGCCTACAATTAATTCCTGATGGAGAGTAGGTGCCAGCATGTCCTACTGGGAGCAGAGATGCCCGCATGTGGCGGGACGGGGGCTAAACAGAAGCATCCAGAGAGCGGAGTTAAGGCGCTTCCCTGAGGTTGGTAGGTGGAGGCAAGTTCCCGCTGCGCAGGGGCTACCTCTGACCTGTCCCCTGCTGGGCCTGGCCCCTAGGTGCTGCGATAAGCGGTTGTGGACCCGCATTGACCTGAACCACTGCAAGTCCATCACGCCCCTGATGCTGAGTGGCATCATCCGGCGACAGCCCGTCTCCCTCGACCTCAGCTGGACCAATATCTCCAAGAAGCAGCTAAGCTGGCTCATCAACCGGTTGCCTGGTGAGCCCCGGGACAGGGCCCCCAGTGTGCAGTCGCGGTGGTGGAGCGTGTCACCTAACCTGCACCCCGTCTGTACCCCCAGGGCTCCGAGACTTGGTGCTGTCAGGCTGCTCGTGGGTCGCGGTCTCAGCCCTCTGTAGTTCCAGTTGTCCACTGCTCCGGACCCTGGATGTCCAGTGGGTAGAAGGACTAAAGGATGCCCAGATGCGGGATCTCCTGTCCCCACCCACAGATAACAGGCCAGGTAAATCACCTGTTGGGCCACACGGGGGGTCCTGTTGGCGAGCGTTTGAACCACAGACTCCACAGCCTTTGTGGCTCCTTGGCCTCAGCTCTGTGCTGGGGAGCTGGGGACGAACGCAAGCTGTAGTCTTGGCGCAGACGTGGAGGCTCCTTTGCCCACGCCAAGACTCCATTCTGTGGGTCTTAGCGAGCATCTGACTGCTGCTCTGCTGACTCTTGTCTCCAAGCCTGTGCAGGCGTGGGTTGCTGTGGCTGGACAGGGGCTGGCAGGGTGGTGCCTCCTGGCTTAGGTGCCTGAGGGGGCGGGAGGCTGGACCGTCTGCGCCAGTCGGCTGAATGTTGCTGGCTGCGGTGTGGGCCGTTTCCAGATCTGGTTTTTTCAAGAGAACCCAGAAATTGATTTTTTTGTTCCTTTTAAAAAAATCTTTATTTTTATTTTTATCTGAGTGAGAGGAGGAGAGAGGGAGGTATCTTCCCTCTGCTGGTTCACTCCCCAAATGCTCACCACAGCCGGATTTAGGCCAGGCAGAAGCCAGGAGCTGGGAACTCCAGCTGGGGCTCTAGGGGCTGGCAGGGACCCTGTACTTGAAGAAATGCAGACTGTGCTGTGGAATCTTCAAACGCTGCAGTTGTGATCTTGGGGGGTGAGCACTTTACGGCTCAGTGAAATCCAAGTGCATTTGGGAGCCTTGACAGTTTGCCTCCTGCTTCCTGCCCCCCAGGTCAGATGGACAATCGGAGCAAGCTCCGGAACATCGTGGAGCTGCGCCTGGCAGGCCTGGACATTACAGACGCATCCTTGCGGCTTATCATCCGCCACATGCCCCTGCTCTCCAAGCTGCACCTCAGTTACTGTAATCACGTCACTGACCAGTCTATCAACCTGCTCACTGCTGTCGGCACCACCACCCGAGACTCCTTAACCGAGATCAACTTGTCAGGTGAAGTGGGGCCTCCACAGATCTGCCCGGCACCTTGTGGGGTGGGCTGGGAACCTCACAGTTGTCATGAACTGTTTGTGTGTGCCTGCTAGTACCCAGAATGCTAGGTGCTAGAACATAGCAGTGGACAAGCCACACAGCCTTGAGAAGATGTACCTTCAATGAGCTAATATCACAATGGTAATAACGGCTACAAAAAACAGGGCTGGCGGCCATGAGGGCACCCTGAAAGGTGGTGGCCAACCAGCGCATGACCGCCAGAGAGGAGCTAATTTCTCTTTCCACTGTTGCCACATACGTGTTCCCTCGTGACCCTGTCATCAGAGAACCTGTTGTTGGAGAGAAAAAGAAAACTCTGTTACCTTGTCTGAAACAGATGCCACTTCCTGACAGAACAGGGGTCAGCTCAGGACCTGGGGCTTGGGCTGGACAGCAGGGCGACAACAGCACCTCTCCCCGCTCTTTGGGCAGTTTGGTCAGATTTCCTGGATACCAAAGGTAGCTCTCCCCACCCCGTACCCTCAGATAGCCCAAGTCCTGTGGTCCAGTTAGGATGTTGCACCTTATCAGGGTCCAAACAGCCAAAGCTGTTTGCCTCCCAGTGTGTCCGTGGTCATGGCTGACAAGCCATCCTCTGGACCACTTGGACCACGCCCCACCATGGAGGATGGCAGGTGTGGACGGTGTCAGACCAGTGTGTCCGTAGGAGGCTGCTCCTTGGCTCGGAAAGTGTCGCCAGCAGGGATTCTCCCGGCTCAGTGCTGAGTGCGGGCTCAAACTGGGGGCAGAGCTGCGCGTGGGAGAAAGGCCCAGCAGGTGTCTCAAGTGCATGGCTTAGTTCAGGTCACTCCTCGTTTGGCCCTGGTTGTCATGGGTGTGTAGCAGAGTTCTCAGCGTACATCCCCTCCCCTGCAGTGCAGGGTGTGTATGGGGCGGGCGGGAGAGAACTGTGTTTTGCCTTTTGTTTTTCCGCCACAATGCATTGGAAGCCTCCTGTCATCTTAGTACCTAGAGATCTCTGCTCTCTGTTGAGTTGTGAAGTACGAAGGGACTTGAAAAAGTTGGTGGGAAACTGGGAATTAAAATATATAAGCCAAGAAACAGAGTTCCCTCCCATTGGCGTGACTGCTTGCGTTGATGGTTAAGTCTGTGCCGTAAGACAGTGGCGGTTGGCACGTTCCAGGACGCTTGCCCGCTGAGACTGCAGTGCCGCCGACCGAGTGTCGGCCCAGCAACGGTGCTCGCCTGGGCCACTTCTTGCCTTTCCCATCTCCACCTGAGGCAGCGCCCGGATACTCTTGAGTGCCTCCAGTGTTCGCCCCCATTTATGTGGCTATCTCTTATTAATTTCTTCCATTCAGACATAAAATTCATGGGAAACATGGAATTAAAGTTTATTTGTGGAGCCAGCATTGTGTTTCCAGTTGGGGAGTGAACAGCGGATGCAAGATCTCTTCCTCGCTCGCTCTAACTATCCCTTTAAAAATAAAAAAAGAGATTTATTTACTTGAAAGAGTTACACAGAGAAGGAGAGGCAGAGAGAGGGAGGGAGGGAGGGAGGGAGGTCTGTCAGTCTTCCAGTCTTCCATCTGCTGGTTCACTCCCCAGTTGGCTGCAATGGCCAATCCAAAGCCAGGAGCTTCTGCCAGGTCTCCCACGCGAGTGCAGGGACCCAAGCACTTGGGCCATCTTCTACGGCTCTCCCAGGCCTCAGCAGAGAGCTGGATTGGAAGTGGAGCAGCCGGGTCTCAAACTGGCGCCCATATGGGATGCCGGCACTGCAGGATGCAGCTTTACCCGCTATGCCTCAGCGCCGGCCCCATCTAACTCTCCCTTTCAAATCAATAAAATCTTTCACCAAAAAAAGTTTGGTGCAAAAAAGTTTCAAAAACCCATGACTAATTTTCCAAAATATGTATTTTCCCACCAACTTACTGTGTATAAACTTGCCATCTTTTTTGCATCTCCCCCTCTTTCCAATTTTTTTTTTTTTTCTATTTTTCAGGACAGGCAGAGTGGACAGTGAGAGAGAGAGACAGAGAGAAAGGTCTTCCTTGCCGTTGGTTCACCCTCCAATGGGCGCCCGGGCTGCGGGCCGGCGCACCGCGCTGATCCGATGGCAGGAGCCAGGAGCCAGGTGCTTTTCCTGGTCTCCCATGGGGTGCAGGGCCCAAGCACCTGGGCCATCCTCCACTGCACTCCCTGGCCACAGCAGAGGGCTGGCCTGGAAGAGGGGCAACCGGGACAGAATCCGGCACCCCGACCGGGACTAGAACCCGGTGTGCCGGCGCCGCTAGGCGGAGGATTAGCCTAGTGAGCCGCGGCGCCGGCCCAATTTTTTTTTTAAGTCACTACTGTTTTACCTTGTGACCATGTAAGTATTGGTCATTGTAGAGCCAACTGGTATAAGAAATTTCTTTTATTGTACAGTTTTTAAAGATTTATCTATTTGAAAGGCAGAGTTAGAGGAAGACACACACAGAGATCTTCCATCTGCTGGTTTACTCCCCAAATGGCTGCAATGACCAGGGCTGGGGCAGGCTGAAACCAAGAGCCGGAGCTGCATTCCAGTGTCTCACGGGGTGGCAGGGGCTCAGGTACTTGGGTCATCTGCTGCTGCTTTCCTAGGCACATTAGCCAGGGTGCGGATCAGGAGTGGAGCAGCCAGGACCAGAATCAGCACTCACAGGCGGCCACGTACCTGCTATGTGACAATGCCCCACCTTGTTTTTGTTTTTAAAGATTTATTTTTATTTGAAAGGCACAATTAGAGACAACAGGAAAGACAGAGATCTTCCACCCACTTGTTCACTTCCCAAATGGCTGCAATAGCCAGAGCTGGGCCAGACTGAACCCAGGAACCCAGCTTCCTCCAAGTCTCCCAAATGGGTAGTTTCCTGCCACCTTCCCAGGCATTAGAGGGAGCTGGACTGGAAATGAAACGGCCTAGACAAGATAGGGGATGCCAGCATTGCAGGCAGCGGCTTTACCCACTGTGCCACAGTGCCAGCCCGTTTTTGTCTTTCCTAGAGTTAGTGATTGGTCCATTTTTCAGTGAACCACACACCAGAGTTCCTTTTCTCCACACGCTCTCCTCAGTCCCTCAGCCAGTCTGTCCGCAGAGAGCCCCAGACTTCCTTTTCTTCTCTCTGCCAGACACCTGGGCTGGCCAGCTCTGCCTGCTGTGGCCCTGCCACCTCCTACCACGGTCCCGGAATTCCTTTGGTCTCCTTTCATGTTGACTCACGCACGGGCTGGAGGACCTCCTCAGAGCTCGTGTGTCTAGGATGTCTTTACAGAACAGTCGTTTTCAGCTGATGGTCCAGGCAGGATAGAACCCTGGCTGGGAGATGTGTTTAAAAGAAGGGGAGCCACTGTTCCACCTCCCACACCTCCCAAAGTCCACAGCCCTCTGACTGTCAAGTATCTGAACCTGTGCTCTCCCTGGACGCGCATGGGAGTCGTCTGTCCACTTGTCCGCTGGCTTCAGCCAGCCATTGTGCAAGGGTGTTCCTGTGAGCCCTTGCACTTGGAACACGGCTTGGGTCCTTTCTTCATGTGTCCTCTTCCTCTGATTTTTCCTCTGGACTCGTCTTCTGGTATCTTTTTTTTCTTTTCCTCATGCAGTCATTTGTTTGATTTATGCTGCTGTCTAGGTTGAGCACTGTGGAACTGTTCATACAGGTCAGAAACAGTCAGATGTTGAGTTTCACGTGGTTTGACCTTTTTTATGTAAGAGGCTAAAGCCAGGAGCGGCCGCTCCATCCAGTGTCCCCTGTGGGTGGCAGGAACCTAGTGACCTGCACCATCACGGCTGCCTGCCTCCCACGGTGCACTTAGCAGGAAGCTGGAGTCAGAACTCCACTATGGGGTGTGACTGCAGCAGACCCGAGAGGCTCCCCTCACTCTGAATGCTGGCGCTTGGTCGTGCGCTCAGGGACCAGGACAGGAGCTTGCCTGCTGTGGGTGGCCGCTGCAGGGTCATCTATCAGGTCGCTTCTTTGGAAAAACCTGGACCTCAGATCTTTTTGTTTACCTCATAAGCTGGCCAGGGGTGCCAAAAATACTTGCCTTAATTCCAAAATGTTGATGTGGTCCTGACAGAGCTCTGGACTGGGGGCATCCAGAGGCAGTGGGGAATTCTTCCCCAGGCCCCCGTTTTTCAGGGGGTGCTGCTGTCTGGTACAGACGTTGTCTTTTCTCCATCAGAGACTAAGACAAACCCCAGCCTTCTGCAGGGGCGGAAATCTGGGTCTCTTACTGTTCCTTAAACAACACAGTCTTGAAGCAGGCCTTCAGTTTCTAGCCCCACTGTAGCCCACCTCCAGTGTACCTGGGGGTCCCATCACAGCCAGCACCTCTGGTGTGTTTTATAGACTGAATCTGCTTACTGTGTTACAGCAGACTGACCGCCTAACCATGTTTAGGTGTACAGTTGTGTTGTTAAGTACACTCACTGCCGCACAACCCTACCATTATCCACTGTAGAACTTTTACACCCCCGGCAAACACCATTCCACTTAGTTTCTAAGAGGGTTTGCTTCTGTTTTAGTTGTTTAGTTTTTGAGAGGCAGAGAGGGAAGGAGACAAAAAGTCGAACGCTGGGCCGGCGCTGTGGTGTGGCGGGTTAAAGCCCTGGCCTGAAGTACCGACATCCCATATGGGCGCTGGTTCGAGTCCTGGCTGCTCCACTTCCGATCCAGCTCTCTGCTGTGGCCTGGGAAAGCAGTAGAAGATGGCCCAAGTCCTTGGGCCCCTGCACCCACATGGGAGACCTGGCTTCAGATCGGTGCAGCTCTGGCTGTTGTGGTTGATTGGGGAGTAAACCAGCGAATGGAAGACACCTCTCTCTCTCTCTCTGCCTCTCCTTCTCTCTCTGTGTAACCCTTTCAAATAAATAAATCTTTTTTTAAAAAAAAAAAAAAGGGAGCTCTTCCATCCACTGGTTCACTCCTCAGATGGTCACAATGGCCAGGGCTGGGCCAGCCAAACCCAGGTGTCAGGAGCTTCTATGGGTCTCCCACATGGGCACAGGAGCCCAAATGCTTGGGCCGTCTGCTGCTGCTTTCCCAGGCCAATAGCAGAGAGCTGGATCAGAGGAAGTGGAGCAGCTGGGACCCAAAGGGCGCCCAAATGGGATGCGGGCGTCACAGGCAGTGGGCTTACCAGCTGTGAACAATGTCAGCCCCTAAGTGTCACTCTGAAAATGTAATGCTTTCATCTGTCTAGAATTACATTTTGTTAGGAGTTCATCTTTATGGCCTATACTGTTTGAGGCTTTTAATTCTTAATCCTTTTTCACTGTTAAAAAGGATGGGGAAGCCGGCGCCGTGGCTCAATAGGCTAATCCTCCACCTTGCGGCGCCGGCACACCGGGTTCTAGTCCCGGTTGGGGCGCCGGATTCTGTTCCGGTTGCCCCTCTTCCAGGCCAGCTCTCTGCTATGGCCAGGGAGTGCAGTGGAGGATGGCCCAGGTGCTTGGGCCCTGCACCCCATGGGAGACCAGGAAAAGCACCTGGCTCCTGGCTCCTGCCAGGATCAGCGCGGTGCGCCGGCTGCAGCGGCGGCCATTGGAGGGTGAACCAGCGGCAAAGGAAGACCTTTCTCTCTGTCTCTCTCTCTCACTGTCCACTCTGCCTGTCAAAAAAAAAAAAAAAAAAGGATGGGGGGGAAAAACTTCTTTAACTTATCAAGGCCTATCTTTGAACATTTTCAAAAATACAGAAAAAAAATTTATTCGACAGAGTTACAGACAGTGAGAGAGACAGAAAAGTCTTCCATTGGCTCACTCCCCAAATGGCCACTGCAGCCGGCACTGCGCTGATCCGAAGCCAGGAGCCAGGTGCTTCCTCCTGGTCTCCCACGCAGGTGCAGGGCCCATGCACTTGGGCCATCCTCCACCGCACTCCCGGGCCACAGCAGAGCTGGACTGGAAGAGGGGCAACCAGGACAGAATCTGGTGCCCATATGGGGTGCCGGTGCCACAGGCGGAGGATTAACCAAGTGAGCCACGGCACCAGCCCCAGAAAACACACTCGTTCCTCCAGCGAGAGGCACCAAGGCTCTGCTTCTGAAGGAGCCTGTTCCCCTTTTGCTTAGTTACTTGAAGGCTGCACCCACCATTGTTTTTCCTAAGGCCGAGGACAGTGGCCACCCAACTGTGGTAATGCCAAGTTTTGGGACAAAGTGGTTTTCCTCAAGAGCTGTGGGCCAGTGTTACCTTTGACTTGAGCCATCTTGGGCAGTATCTGAGGGGTCCATGCAAAGATTGAAGGTTGGCCTGGAAGAACTGGGGGCTGTCTTTGAGGCACCTCCTTTTGTCTGCCTCCTGCTCAGCTCTCCCGCCCTCAGTCTGACTGCCCGGCCTCCCGTAGCAAGGGCTGTGCACACCACCTTCCCAACACCATTGTTCTCCAGAGTTCATGAATTCCCGCTTTTAGGCCTGGCTCATTCTGCCCAGATCTGGCAAGTGCTAGAAAGGGGTGGCTGTGTGACGGTGGCAGTCGGTAACTCGCCTGCTGCTCCAGCTCCCCTCCGCCGCCCCGGCCTGCAGGGAGCTGGACGATAGGTATTAGATTGCACAGGCCTTGTATGCATTATCGCAGCTTGCCCTGACTGTTTTCATTCTCACTCAATTTAATAGAAAAAATAAAGTGTTGGCACTAGTGATGATAAGCAGAGATCTCAAACTTAATACCACTGAGGTGAAGGGAGGAGTCACTCGTCCACCCAGTTGATTCGGCCAGGTAGGAACCATTTGTCTTGCCGGAGGGTGAGTCTCAGTTGGATGCCAGCTGGCGTTTAAGCCAGATGCCTGTGGTGGAGTCAATTCCAAAAGGAAATAGGAACAGAGAGTTAAGGGTGTGTCTGCAGGTGAGGGCGCGGAAGGATTCTGATTTCCGTTTTTTACTCTGGACAGAACCCATCTCCCTTCTAACCCAGCCCCTTCCAGTCCCGCTGGCATCAGGTCGGGGGCAGCCAGTGCGCCGGCTCTGGGCCTCTCTGAGGGAGCCCGAGGGACCCCAGGCGTGTTCTGGTTCTGACCTAGTGAGTGCATCAGTGACGCCTCAGCTGAGGGAAGTGGCTGCTCACTACCGTTGACCCTGGGTGTGTGAGCCAACACAGGCCCATCCGTGTGCCTCCAGAGAGGCGGCCCGCACCGCTTTCCACGTGGCAGGCACGTATTGACCTTTCTAACTGGCGGATGAAGCCATTTCCCGTTAGAAGAAAGTTTCTAAGCAAATACCGCTTCCCTCAGGACAGGAGGGAGGGCCTATGCCAGAGAGCTCGGAGCTTCCCCGCCGCGAGTGGCCGGGGTGGGGGCCGTCGGGCTCTGCGCCTTCTCCCCTCACGCTGTGTCCTCCTCCCGCAGACTGCAATAAGGTCACTGACCAGTGCCTCTCCTTCTTCAAACGCTGCGGGAATATCTGCCACATCGACCTGAGGTACTGCAAGCAAGTCACCAAGGAGGGCTGCGAGCAGTTCATAGCCGAGATGTCGGTCAGTGTCCAGTTTGGGCAAGTGGAAGAGAAACTCCTACAGAAACTGAGCTAGTCCAAGGACAAGTATGTAAATATGGGCGGGCGGGGGGAGGACATGCAGTGCGGGCGGGGAAAGACTTCACACAGACGAGGGCTTTTATTTCCATTTGGAACCTGGAACCACAGGTGATTCCATTTTGCAAGTCTTGCCAAGGGAGAAGCCGTTGATCCGCTCGGGTCTGGGGGACGCGTGAGCTGGACGCTTTCCTCTGGGCTTTCAGAATCGGAGCTGCACTGCTTTCCGGACCATTTCTGAGGTGGCCTTTAAAGACATTCCCGTCAGACGAGGATGGACTTCGGGGAAGTTCTGGTTGGTCCGTGTTTAGGACGCCTCTGAGGTTCCTGGTGTCAGCACAGTGGACCACACACGCCATCTGCTGCCGTCTAGACACATTTTGTTTGTTTTGATTTTGTTACATCTTACATTATGCAGAACTATTTTTGTACAAATTGTTTAAAAGTTATTTATGCAAGGTCTGAATGCATACCAGTGTTTTTATTGTTTGAGATGACCAGTTTTCCCCATTTCCTCAAGGTAGGAGAGAACTTGATATATACTCAACACAACGATCCATCTGCAAATGTCCCCAGATCCGGCAAAGTGGGCTGAAACCTTCCACTTAAAAGCATGTTTAACTGGAACAGAGAGCCTGCTTTGTGCGTTAGGAAGTTACCCAAGCATGTTGTGGATTAATGTAAATTATAGTCAAAGTAAGACACTCTGCCAAGTTTTTCCTCTGTAAAAAGCTCACCTTTTTCTCAAGAATTTAAAAACTCAGCCTTCAGCCTGTGCACTCAGGAGGGTTTTGCTCCAGCATGAGCTCTAATTTATGCAGCGACTAAAGAAGTAGAACAAACACTCCATGTCACCTTCGCCCCGTTCTCGCCCCCTGCAGGGGGAGCGGAGTTCTTGTTTAGGTCTGTGCCCCGGCTCCTCCTAGCTGTGAAGTTCTGCATTCCTAAGTGCCATTGTCGTGAGGTGGTGTTTCCCAGACCTTCCCTGGCGCGGTTTTACCTTTGTTGAATTTGTATAAACAATTGTACAAAAACGAGTGTGAGGGTTTTTGTTCTAGAAACGTGATAGAAAAGCCCTGGGTGGGTAGTGTGGCATGGGATTTCTCATAAAAGCAACAGAACAGTGTGGCCAGAGAGGCCCCGGCGCAGGAGCAAGGGGCGGACTTGCTAAGTGCAGGCAGGCTTCCCACCGCACCTGCCCGAACAACTTCCAGAGCCACTTACGTTACGATGGGAAGGGGGAGGGGCGGCCCTGGCCGTGGGGACATGCAGGGGGCACTTCGTTAGGCTGCTGCTTCCCCAGTGGCCGGCAGAAACCAGGGAAAAATGTTAATCACAGAATCTTTCAAAAAGAGGGTCGGGGCCAGCGCAGTGGCATAGTGGATAAAGCCGCCCCGCAGCGCCAGCATCCCATATGGCCACCAGTTTGAGTCCCAGCTGCTCCACTTCCAATCCAGCCCTCTGCTGTGGCCTGGGAAAACAGTACAGGATGGTCCAAGTCCTTGGGCCCCTGCACCCGCTCTCGCTCGCTCTCTCTACCTCTCTCAGTAATCGCAATGTCATGTTCGTAGATGGAAATACCTGCTCTAGTAAATCTGAGCACAGGCAAGAACTCTTCTCACATAAAGAGCAACAAAGACCTGGGCTCCATGGACATCAGGTTCTGGCTTTGTCCCCCTTAGCCTGTTTCTGCCCTTGCAAAAATGTTTATAGCAGAATACATGCCTGTGCCTCTGCTTCCTTGGATCAGAGCTCTCCATCTGAAACCGCAGCACCACTGAGGTAGGCTGCTTGTCCTGCAGTGCTCCCACGAGGGGAAAGCTTGAACAAGATGGCTGCCTGCTACCTGGTGGAACGCCCCAGAGCTGAGACTCACGTCTGCTGGGCGCTGGGCACAGGGTCTGCGGGTGAACAGACTGAGAAGGGGCCGAGGCTGATGCACTCAGCAGCAAAGACGGCCCATCCCGAGGCTCGCAAGAGGCCAGGGTTGTGCAGTGGTCACGAGATGAAAATCCACAAGATGACATGTCCCCCAGGACGAGTCCATTCTCCACAAAGACCTTTCCAAAAGGCGCTGCAGAGGCGGCCACTACATCAAGTGCCACCAACGGCTGCTGAGCCCACAGGGACCGGTACGTCATGAGAAGGACCACGAGCCTGAGAGCTCGCGGCGCCGGTCAGTCACAGCTGCTTAACCAGAGAAGCAGAGGAGCTGTGCTCCTACCTGAGATTCTGACGTTTGCAGTCGCGTCAAATGATGCTCTGTCATACGCTCAGGGGAGTTTGCGCGATTCCGTCGTGGACTTTCAGAATTTCATCTTTATGACCTATTACCTACTCACAATATTCACTCAGCCATCACAGGCCCATTACAAACGCTGACCCCACGGGGAAACAAGTTCTTCAAGCAAGTCAGCCATTCCTCAGTATCCTTGGGGGACTGGTTCCAAGACACCCCCTTGTGTCCCTTGCTTAGGCCCCTTGTATTCAAGGGTACCGGGCAGGCATCTGGCCCAGCAGCTGGGCTGCCAGGTTTGGGCTCCCACCTTCTCCTGATCCCACCTTCCCGCTCACGTGACCCTCGAGAAGCATGGCTCAAGTAGTCGAGTCCCTGCCACCCATATAGGAAACCTGGCCTGGGTCCCTGGAATGAACCAACAGGTGGTAGATACCTGCATATCATCTATACCCATCCCCCTGGACTTAAATCATCCTTAGACTCCTCGTAACGCCGACTACAGCGTGACTGCTGAGGGAATCACGGCGTCAGTTAGGGGAGTTACGTCATTTCAAGTGCCAGACCGGATGAACTGTTTTGGCTGGTCCTTAAGCCACACAGGGCTACTTCAAAACACAATCTAAAAAATTCACTAAGAATGTTTGTATTGCTACCAAGAAGCACTTGATACAGCAACTCAAGAAGAGATGCTAAGGTATTTCAAGGTGAGACTATTTCCTAGTTTAACTCTAGACAAACCAGCAGCAGCTACTTGGTTTCTATTTAAGTTTGCCTACTGTAACCTGCTGGCCTGAATTTAAAGACTTCCTACCACCAAGTTAGCAACTGCAGGGGAAATGTTAATTCTGGAGTTCTCGGTCTCATGAGAAGCGCAGACCAAGGACACAGCCCAGGAAGCTGTGTGGGGAGCAAGCGATCTACTTGGGCTGCTGCAGGCAGGCAGGCAGGCACCTGTAGCGCCCCAGAAGGGGCTGTGATGGCTGTGGAGGTCTTAACTCACACACTGACCCTGGGAACCAGCAAAGACGGGCAAGACTTCCTTCACAGCCAGCCAACCCTGACCTCACACGGGCCAGCCATCTGCCTCCCTGCGTTCCTGGCTGTTTTAGGGTCTGTTATTTCATGGGTAGATCCTGAGCACCTGAGGGCAGATGTGTGTGACTGCAGTCACAAGTACAGCTGGGGACCAGCCCTGTGGTGTAGCAGGTGAAGCCACCTGCACCGGCATCCCATATGGGCATCAGTTTGAGACCCGGTTGCTCCTCTTCCAATCCAGCTCTCTGCTATGGCCTGGGAAAGCAGTAGAAGATGGCCCAAGTCCTTGAGCCCCTGCACCCACGTGGGAGACCCGGCTTTGGATCAGCACAGCTCCGGCTGTTGCAGCAATTGGGGAGTGAACTAGTGGAAGACCTCCTCGCTCTCTCTGGCTCTCCTCTGTGTGTAACTCTGACTTTCAAATCACTAAATAAATCTTAAAACAAAAAAAAGAAAATAAAGGCAGAGCTGGAGTCTCAGCTGAGCAGTTAGGCATTGCATAAAATCCTATCTGCCTGCTAGCAGCAGCCTAAATCCACAGCTGGGCTCCACTCACCCGAAAGCACACCCTGATTCAAGCTGACCTAAAAGAATTCAGAACCACCCATGAGAGCTAATGCCCCAAGACTGGCATGCTGTGTAGTGCTGGAAGGGTTAAACTGCCACCAGTGTGAGAACAAACTCTGATGTAGCTGCCTCTCCGCAGATCTTAGACAAGTCCCTTGACCTCACAGACGCCAGGTTCCCCGTGTGTGAACAAGGGATCTGGGTCAGACTGCTGCCTCCCGGCATGCTGGGCAACAGCACGGGCGACAGCGACTCTGCAGTGCCCCCTTGCCGATAAGCTCGCTGTGACTTCTTTGAAGGGGCTCCCACCTCCTCTGAAGGGGGCTAGACCATGTGCAGAAACTCGCTGTTTACCCTAGTGAATCAGGAACTGAGACAATGTAAACAAAAACATTTTTTAATCTAATTTTATTCCTAAAGTTGAAATTAGCTAGCAGGTAGCACTAAAAATACACCTTCACCATACAAAACAGTGTAAACGCTTGAACATTAATAGAGAACTTAGCACACACACTCCTAATGGAAGAAGCCAGACACAGCCCTTGCTATAAAAGCTGTACCTGGACAAAAACGGCCGTGTTTAGTCTAAGGCCTGGCAGCCGACTACAGAATGTCAGTGGTTCCCAGTTATGTATAATGCAGAAACAGCAACGATGTGGAAACCTACATTCATCAGGTATTAGCATTTAATACATGACTAATCAAGTGACCATTCCGAGGCCACTGCTCGGCATGTTCCATACCAGCCACTTGTGGACAGTGACCTCATCCAGAGAACAGAAGGTTCGGACATCCAAGTGGTTTCAGTTAAAAATAGGAAGGAAGGGAGAGACCAGGACGTCCTCCAAGAGAGCAGCTTGCGCTCCCTGCCATCAAGTCTCGCTTCCACAGTCAGTGCTTGCGGGACAAGCAGGGAAGCTCGTGTCCACGGGACGGACCAAGGCTTCCACAACCTAGGGTGCGCCTTTCTGTTCCCAGTCCATAGTGAAAGTAATTTTTAAAACCAGCTTCACTCTGAACAGGAAGGCTCCAGTCCCTTCTGCGCACTGAAATGTTTGGGATCGAGCCTGGGGCGTCAGCGCTGCTGAGGAGAACCTCGGCTCAGGACTTGAACACGTGCACGGCCCGCACCACGTACTGCCGGCAGATGGGACACTCACTCATGCGCTTGCCGCACTTGGTGCAGGTGACCATGTGCCCGCACTCCAGCAGCACGCAGTCGATGACGGCGTCCATGCAGATCCGGCACAGGCTGTCGTCGTCCTCGTCCTGCAGCTGCAGCCGCTCGCCATCTGAAAGGCAACCAAGAGTGGGGCTGCGGGCACGTCTGCCTGCCCCCCGGCCCCAGGCCGAAGCTGAGCAGCCAGCTGCTGAGTGACCCCTGCAAGCCCAATACTGCCCCAGGGAGGGACAAGGACCGTAAGACTGCCTGTGCCCCAACACAGCCAGCTAAGGAGCGATTTAGAGTAGAGGAGGATTTCTGTAATTAGCAAAGAGAAACTTCAGAGTGGCCTTAGGATGCAGACACGAGTCGCCCCCGTGATGTGGCCGGGGCGGGCTGGGGGAGGGGGCACAGTCTGTGGCGCCTCCACGGTCCAGTCTGGAATAACTTGCCCAGCCAGCAGCGAAGCCTTGGCAGCATCTCATTCACTCCGTTCTTGCACTGCACAGCCGGAGTCTGTCTCAGTCAACGAACGTGCGCTGTGGCCAGATCAGGTCTCAGCAGAAGTCAAGGACGAGTGACAGCGACTCAGGCTGGAATCTGACTACAGGGCTGTGGGCTTCTACGGAAACCAGGAGTGACGTGGGAAAGGGTGCAAGCTTGGAGGACCAGCAGCCTTTGCATTTGAGAGAAATGAACTTCACCACCTGCCTTGTGAGGAGACTCAAGTGTCTACAATGTGACCTAGGCGTGAGGTAGGGGCTGACATTTAAAAAAAATTGGATTATTGAAAGGCAAAACAACAGAGAGAGCCAGAAATTTTCCATCTATTGGTTCAGTCCCCCAAATGTTTTCAACAGGTTGGAGCTGGACCAGGCCAAAGCCAGAAGTCAAGATTTCTTTCTGGGTCTCCCACATGGGTAACAGGGACCCAAGACATGGGCTGGATCAGAAGCAGAATAACCAGGACTCGAACCAGTATTCCAGTATAGATTGCTGGTGTCACAGTGGAGGCCTAACCCACCGCACCACAG